AATTTTAGGAGTAAGGAATGGACAACTAGGCTTAATCTATAACTCCCTATTTATAATTATCCAGTAACTTTGTGTCAAACCTACTTTTTTTTGCTGAAATTGTCATGGATTGTTCCAATTAATTAAGCTTTTAATTAGTTAACATAAAATCCATGCAATTAATTAATTTCTAATTAATTTCAAATTAGCTTCTAATTAATTTATCATAAGATGAGAAATTAATAAACTAATTATTTATAATTTTTCTTTTGTCATTTAATTGCCCAATTGGTCATAAAGGTAACCCAAAGAATCATGTTATTATTATAAATATTTCTAATAGTTATGACATTAGACATTATTTCCAATAGGACTACACATGCAACTTTTGGAAACTATATGGACGAGACGTATCAAAAGTTCAAAAAATAGATTAAAATTTTAGATAAATGTAAATCATAAGGACCAAAAGTGTAATTTTCCCTGACTAATTAGACTTTTTGGTCATGTAGTTATATATATCAATTACGGTTTTGGTTTCTAACAAAAGTTAATTTATGAAATGAATTATACTATTGGTCTTTTATTCTTTGTCGTTTTAAATGGTAAATTACATTTTTTGGTCCGTATGGTTTGCATTGTTCTGCATTTTAGTTTCAAGTTTGAAACATTTATAAAAACGCTAAATTATGGTTTTGGTCAAGGTTTTAAATAATGTTAGGCAGTATTTGATGGCAATGTTGTTGGTGATTTTAGTATGACCATGACATTTTGTGTGATTGAAATTTACATGTGAGTTAAGGACCTTTGTAATTGGTACTATAATATATGTTTGGGTATGTTCAGAGTGCACACATGTATAAGATTGAATTAGAAGTCGGTTTGACAACAAGTCGAGGGTCCGGGGGCAACGCCCCTTTGGTGGGATCTAGGGGCAGCGCTCCTAGCGGGGTCCAAGGGGCGGGGTCCAAGGGGCAGAGTCCTTTGCTAGGGTCCCGCTTATGGTAAAACTGACTAAGATCGTCCGTTTTGAAAACCATTGATTTCCTCATTAAATCCGGATTCACTTGATTTGTTTCCAAAGAAACCGATGACGGCCAACCTAAAAACGAAACCCTACATATCGTTTTCTATATAAACAGCTCTCCTCTTTGAAGGGGAATAACTTTTAGCTCTCGTTTTTCTTCTTACAAACTTATAATTATCTAGCAATTTGGATTACGTTTTCTGCGCCTAGAATCGTAAGTATCCATTTGGGATTATCCCTGATTGAATTTCTTGTAACTCGGGCATATAGTAGAAATATCAGTTCGGAAAATGTTTATACGATCCAAGGGGTATCCAGATCTCCACTATAAACTCTACCAAATTTCTAACAAATTTCAAGTCTCAAGTTTTTACGAACCGTAGTGAACCATAACGTTTGTAATAGGTAACTTAATGAGACAATTTTGTATGTGATTAATAATTATATATATATATATATATATATATATATATATATATATGCAATATTTTGTTCAAGTGTGGTGTTGAGTACAAGCCTTAGAGCAATCACATGTCATGACGATTGATGAAGCCAATGCAAGCTTTTTAAAACCTTGGTTTTGGTCCTTATGGTTTGCATAGTTTTTCACTTTAGGTCTAAGCTTGGAAATATTTACATTGATGGTTATTTTGATTGGCAAAAACTACTTACTTGAGGTCACGTGTTCTATGTTTTTATAAGTTATTCTTTTTTTTAATATATATATATATATATATATATATATATATATATATATATATATTGCAAAAATATTTTTATCTACTACTATTTTATATTAATTTATTTATTAAAATTATTAAACCCATACAATGCATTAAAATACCACTATTTATTTTAAGGAAATTGTTAGAAAAGTCTTAATATTTTCAGGAAATTTACATTTTAGTCCTAAGATTTTTTTTTGAACAAAAAAGTCCCGATTATTTCATTTTAGCTCAAGTTTACAAAAAAATTCTTTTTTTCTTTTAACAGGAAATGACATATTATCGTGTTTTTAAAAAAAATCGGGACTTTAATATTAAAAAAAAAATCTTACGACTAAAGTGTAAATTTCTTGAAAATATTAGTATTTTTTTGACAATTCCCTTTATTTTATTATTTAGAAGAAAATACTTTGTTTATTTTAAATAATAAAAGAAAAAAGAAAGTGAAAAGCTTTGTCAGGAAGATGAGGATACAAGACAAGGGAAATCATGTCAACTGTAGGATTGATTCCAACCAGGCCCCACCCTCAATCTTGTCAAATGTTAACTCTGTTCCTACTTTTGATGGTGACATCCACATCTCACATATACCATTACATTTTTATCTTTACTTTATACGAATTTATTTTCATTATAATTTTCTTTATTTCATTTTTCTAGAGTGACGAAATTAACATTTATTTCATTCTTCCTTTTTATTTCATACATGCCAATGCTATTCATTAATAACCTGTGAAACATAACGTATGAAAGAATGATAAATAGTTTATTTATAATTCATTTTTACATTTATCTCATGTTGACAGAAAACGAAAATTATGAGTCGTTTATAAATAGTATGGGCTATATATAATTTTTACTACAGTTTTGATCGTAAAACATAAGGGACTATGGGTTAATCGTGTGATTTTCTATGTTTTTTCAACGGCTTTATGAGTTTTTTCTATTATAAAAAAAAACGATAAAACTATAACATTAAACTTAAAGCCGATATATGCATATAGGAAAAAATTTAATACAGAAATATTATTAATCAAATAACCAAATAAGAAATTCAAAGCGTCGAAATTTAAAACGAATAACAGCAAAAAGAGATTGTAGACTTTTACAATTGATGCAAATGTATAGATTATAACAAAACTCTTTTTTTTTAGTTTTATTTTTCAAGCAATGTTTTTATCGAAAAAAAAAACCGAATATACCATTGTTCATGAATTTACGTCATCTTTCATAAAGATCTATATTGATGTATAAAAATAAACTTTAAAAAAAAACTCCATTTTTCTTTATCTTTTAAAAAGGAAATGTCTATTTTTTTATAGAAAAAAATTAATAAGTATATCAAATTTTATATATTTTGGTATTCTTTAAACATAGATTCATAATAATTCTAAAAAGGAAAAATCAAAATTTTAGTTCAGATTTACATTGTGAATCTGTTCTGCTCTGATTCACATTGTGAATCTGCTCGGATTCACATCGTAAATATTCATATTTTTTTATACTCTTTAAACAAATATTCATATTGATATAAAAAATCAAAATTTCAATTCAGATTCACATCGTGAATTTGCTCATATTCACAGTGTGAATAATAGTAAGTTAGATTCACATTGTGAATTCTGAATACTAATTTATATACAGTTAATATTCACAATGTGAATAAATTAATTTGTTGATTTTACAAAACTAATTTATGAGTAGTCAAAACGTTAAAATATTATAAATTTACATGAAAATATATTTCGATTCATATGTAAATTTCATTAAATTAATTTGTAAATGATCAAAAAGTTGAAATAGCAAGTCAGATTCACATTATAAGGTGTTAAAATTGAAATATTTATAGTTCAGATTCTCATCGTGAAACTGAATTTGATGAAGTTTTTTTTAATCGATGTTGATATTTATTAATATATTACAAAAAAATGAGATTTTTGGTATAAATGGTTTTTTTGGATAAAAAAACCTTAAATATTGAAAAAAAAAACATCAAAACGAAGTGGCTTTTTCAAATATATATATATATATATATATATATATATATATATATATATATATATATATATAGAGAGAGAGAGAGAGAGAGAGAGAGAGGTAAGTTATATTGAGAACACGTAAAAGGTTGAGAACACGAGAACAGTCCATTTTTGTTATTTTGTCAAATTAATGTTCTTAAAGTGTAAATTTCTAAAATACGTTATTTTCCCTAATTTATGCATTATTAAATTATTAGATTTTCTACTTTTAATTTGACTGATATTCATATCCCGTATAATTTATACCTACCATCATCAACTCCAAAATATCCGACTACTTTCCTTCACTCGTCTTCTTTCCTTCACCTTACAATCGTCACATTACAGTTAAAAGTTTCGTATTTTTTGATTCTCCGATGATTTGCAAGCAATGTTAAGCTGTAATCGTGGGATCCTTCAAGATCAGTTTGTTTCACATTACGAATCAATAATCCTTATTTTGTGCTCTTCCATAATATGCAACCAATTTGAAGCTCGAACATTGGGATTCTTCAAGATCACTTGCATTTTATCGTTCAATATCATCGATATAAAGGCGTATGGAGGTCGAATTAAAAGGAGGTTATGCAGTCGGGAATCGCACAAGAGGTGAGTGCCTTTTACGTCATTGAGGATTTTTCATAAAATTTTTCGTTATTATCATCAATATGTTGTTAATTTCACTTGGTATTCAATGATTTACATGAGTTTGCAATGTATAAGTTCGATTTTGTCAGATGGTTCAAGGAAAATGTTTTCCCTATTTTCTCACTTATATGTTCACTGTTAACTTGTTTGAACAAATTTACAACATCGATTGATGATTATTGTATTTTTTTTCTTTTTTAATCATATATTTCGATTTGCATTATGTGAATGGTGTTATTGGCATCAATATGTTGTTAAATTCAAGTGACATTCATCGATTTAGATGAGTTTGCAATGTATACGGTTTGATTTTGTAAATATGTTCATGAATGTTTTTTGCCCTATTTTCACACTTATTTGTTTCCTGTTAGCTTGTTTGCACTACATTTATTCACCATAGATTGCATATAAATGTATGTTATTTCTGTTTTATTCATATAATTCGATTTGCATTATCTTTATGGGGGTAGTTAACAGTTAAATTATACTTATATTTTTGTTATCATGTATGAAATAACCAGGCGCATGAAAAGTGAGCGTATGCATAACAGATACTCACTCATGAAATTCAAAAATGATCCCTCAAACCCAATATTAATAGATATGGACGTAGATGCATCTGATTCTATCAGGACTACCAAAGTGCCAACCATTGCCAAACCTGTAGTTCTTATTCAAAAGTCAAAAGTGAAACCTGGTTCAACTGTTAAACTAATTCAGAAGGAAGGTAGTTTTTTTTATTATCTTTTGAATAAGTTATTACACCAAAACACATAGTCTTTATTATTTCTGATGAAACGCTTCATGAAAATCGTTCAAAGCACAAATGTGATCCACATTCCAGTTCCCATTCACCTGTGCATGGTTATACAAAATCAGGTAACTCATTAATACTGACTTTTTTAACTTGCTAGTGTAATTCATTTAACTTATTTACTGACTTTTGAATAATGTATTGTCTTTTCTTCCAAAAAATTTACAGATATTAGAAAAATGTTGTTTACGTCCAAACAAAAACAACAGCCATCACTTGACGACTCTGATTTTGAAGACCCAAATCCAGTTATCAGCCAAAATAAAAGGAAATCACCTCCACTTGTAAAAGTCAAAGTTATGCAACATCACGAGAAGAAAGCTAGAGCAGATGTGGCCAGCCCTCAACCAATTAAAACCAAAATTAAAGTCAAGAAATTGGAAAATAGAAAGTCAAAGAAGGGAGTCCATGTCGATATTCCAATACAACCAAGGCGAATACATATTCGGACGTCACCAAAAATATTATTCTCCATAATCCACGGTCTGACCAATGGACAAAAGGAATATATATCATCAATTGGATTTGGTCCCCTTTTAAATATAAAAGTAGATGGGTCGGCATCACGAATTGGGTACTATGCGGTCAACAACTTTGACCCTGAACGAATGGTTTTGACTGTCGAGCGGGGTGAGATACCAATTACTAGGCAATTGATACATGACATGTTGGGTCTCCCTTTGGGAAATGTCAATATCAATTCTTTAAACTTCACACCCGCTCAAGACAAAACTGTTGATTTGTGGTCTGCACAGTTCAATTCAGAAAATGATATTAGTCCCAAAGGCGTACAAAGGGCGATTAAGAGATTAAAAGATGTTGGGTTATTGTTTAAAGTCAATTTTTTGGTGCTCATTTGTAACACTCTTGGACAATCCAAGAGCATGAGCACATGTGATGTATCAATGCTTGCAAAGGTCTCAGAGGATTTAGATTTAAGCGACATAGATTGGTGTTCATATGTGTTGGAGTGTTTGAAAAATACAAAAAATGCATGGAATCCTATGAGCGATACATCTTACTATGTTGGTCCTATTGTCCTCTTGACGGTACTTATCCTACAACCTAACTTAATACATTTGTTCTAATTATTCACTAATGACTTATTCACTAATGATGACAAATACTTTATCACAATTGACTTATTCATTAAGTACTTATTCACTAATGATGTATTCATAATTTTTTCATGACATCTAAGCTGGTATACCTGGAGCATGTTTCATGTGATGCTGTTACGATTGACCGTGGAAGACCTGTTATATGTTTCTAGGATGTAGAAACCATACGTTCACGTGAGGAATATGAAATCAGAAATGGTGGACTTGGTACTGGTGAACTTCAGGAACCTTACATACCACAGGATGACAAGGCGGAAAATGTCAATTCGTTGAATGGATCAGTTGAGGTTAGAAAATTTCCCCACAATTTTTTCATATTCATCACTTATTACTAATCTTTCATCATGTTTATAGGAATACCTTTCTGCCATTGAAAGTATGTTCAACAAGCTAGTTGCGGATAATCATTTGATGGACTCAAAACTGTTAGAAGCAATCGAAAAGCATCCTCTTATTTGTGATTTCTACGAATGGAAAGCCAAGATCAGAATATTCTTTGATGAAGCATCCGCGAAATATGAAGCAGGAAGTTGTTCTAATGATCCCAACCATATTGAACCTTTATCCCAATGGTGGTCAGACAACTCAGAACAAAATTAACAGGTCCTGTCAAATAGCAGAACATTCTGTTAAATCGTTCCACAATTCACCCTTTCCAAACTGGAGCATCGGCCTGACACAGGAGTTTGCGGATATCATTAACAATTCATCATTGAAAGATATCATGAAAACCCCAAAACACCAATGTCCAAGTCCTCTTCCATTATCAATTGTTCCTATTCACAGTCATGACGATGCTGCCAATGCAAGAGAGTTAAGGCCAAGAAATAAGCCCCCTATACTACGTTCTCCATTCATTTTACGGGCAGTAGATATAACCAAACGTATATCACGTGCTCAGAAGGACCTATCTGAATGGGTTTTCTCAACACAAGGTCATCCAAGGGTATATACAAATTTCTACATAACTGATACAAAAAAAATAACTTATCTAAAGTTCATTTAACTTTCGACATGTTCTTTTATGCAGTGACGAACTGTTTCGGACATGTACTGGTTGTTGGATATAGTGTCTAAGTCCATAACTTTATTTGGTATGTACTTGACCCGACCCGGCATGGTCCATTTGGGTTGCATGGCATTGCAATACTTGGATAGACTAGATGAGAGAATAAGACACTTATGATTATTAATATATTATAAGTTCTAATATATTAATAATAGTATTATTTAATTAGTATTGATCAAGTATTAATCTAGTATTAATTTGGTGATCAAAGTGAGACTAATTAAATATATAGGGTTGATTATGACAATCATCAATTCTTTTATGGTGGATTAATGATCCATGGTTTATGGGTTTGGTTATAACCATATGGAGCTCCATGGATAGTCCATGGGAGTTACAAACCCATGGGTCATGAGAAATCAAGAGTCATGACAATTAAGGGCATTCATGTGTAAACCCTAATTGTGACAACACTATAAAAGGAACCCTATGGCTAGCAAAATCGGGACTAAGGGTTTCTAGTGAGGGCATAACCGATTTCGAGGCTAAGTGACATTCTCTCAAGTTATTCCAAGTCTTGTGGTGTTGTGTGAAGCATTTGAGGCACAACATTTGGGGTGCTAGGCTCACAAAGTCTTGAAGGAATCCAAGCAACAACAAGGTATGTATTTCTACTAGTTTTATGTTATATGTAATCCCCAAGCCATGCTAGTTAGGAAATAACCTTGAAAAAGAAATTTGCATGTATATAGAGAAAACATAGATTCAAGGTTATTAGGGTTGCATGTACACTTAGGAAGTGTTAGAATGCTCAAAACCCATCAGTGGTATCAGAGCCTAGGATTGTTTTCTGTATACTTGATGCAAAACTGCTTAAAAATCGAAAATTCTGCACTCTGACGACTGGACTCGCCGAGTCCATGGGGAGGACTCGCCGAGTCCATGAACAATTCATCCTACTCGACGAGTAGAATAATGCACTCGGCGAGTAGGAGCGTGCTGGGCAGTTTTTTCGAGTTTTGTTGCTGGAAATGGATTAAGATCATTATCCCAATCTGTTTTTGGACTTGTAAAATCTGTTTTTCAAAATGATAATGATTATGTTAACCCATTTTACATGACTTTTATCAATTTTCAAGTATTGTATATGTTTATATGATTTTCTTGAAATTGCTTGACATGAATTTGTGTTCATATGAGTTTAGAAGATCATAGGAATTATGTGTAACCTCCATGTGTGTTTAATTCATGATCTTAATGGCTATGATGGTGTCCATAACTTGTCCTCAAGTTATGGATAACCAAAAGTCACTTCTTTAATTATGATTAAAGAACTAAAGAGGTTCATAAAATGAAGAGTCTTCTTTTTATGAACCATTAAAACTCATAAGTTACAAATTGAAGAGACTTGGAATAGTTTCAAATCTTGCCCTCAAGTTTTGGAATTTGAAAAGTCTTACACTTTAATACTTTAATTCCAAATTAAACCTTAGATTTTTAAAAGTTTAAAAATCAACACTTATACTATTATTATAATTTTATTATATAGATATGTATAAGAATATGTCATTCTTACCGTTAGTAGGCCTCATTCACGAAGCCGGTCTATAGGGGGGTATAAGGTTGTTGCCTATAAAATGGTGACTTAATGGGTGTCCACTCTCACCCACCGCTTCCTTGATCGGTGGAGGGTCGTTAGCCGAACGGGTAGGATACGACTTTAAATACTCGTTAAAAGTATAATGAATTATAAAGTAACTATACATTATAAATTCCCAATCTTAGTTACTTTAGGAAAATGTGAAATTGGTGCTAGCCCATAAAATTACACTTTGTACCTTACCAAGTCGTTAGTGGAGCGAGTGTGGTTAACCGGCACACTAACATGGACTAGTAAGAGTGGCAAAGGGTAACTTGACCTTATTATAGATCGGTGGAGCGTGTGTGGTTAACCGGCACATCGATTAGGTAATATTGTTGAGGGTACCAAGTCAATTTGTATGGTTATTCACACCTTGTTTGTGATCCTCGGCATCCCAGTCACAAACTTGAGAGGGCACAATCGAGATTCAAACATGCCATTGAAAAGTTCAATGTATCTCAAAAGATCTAGGAGTTTCAAAACCAATAAAACCTAATAATAAAATATTTCGTTCTTATGGTGGAAATTGGTAAATCGTCATTTACCTACCTTCAAATATTTTATAGTATGGATTACGGCATCCCTCTTCCAACTATAAATAGTTTGTTGGATCCTAGCCTTAATATTTCATTTGGGTGAATTATTAAGGATTCCTAATCTAATGAAACTTGTCTTTCTTTCCTTTCAGATGTCTTCCAACAATGCTTCTGGCTCAAACCCAACAGGCTCCTTTTCCCTTATGAACTTGTGTGGTAAGGTCATCTTTGATGGATCCAATTTCAATGAGTGGATCAGAAACATCAGAATGATTACCCGCTATGAGGACAAAGAATATGTCCTCGATAGGGAGCTTAAGGTTGTGAGTGAAGCCACTGCTACTCCTGAAGTGTTTGCGGAGTTTGTTGCACATGAAAAGGATGCTACTAAAGTAGCATGCATCATGATGGCCACCATGACTCCTGAACTTCAAAAATCCTATGAAGATTTCTACCCCTATGAGATGCACCTGGATCTGATGGAAAGGTACCATCAGAGCGCGCGTCAGGAGAGGTATGAAATCATCTCCTCCATGATAACCGCAAGGATGAAGGATGGTGAACCCATCACCGGTCACTTGCAGAAGATGCAAAGGTTCGTTGACCGGTTGCTGAAGCTAAATGTTGACTTTCCTGAGGAAATGGCGATTGACATCATTCTCCATTCCTTACCTCCAAGTTATGATCAGTTTCGTATGACTTATCATATGAACAAGGAGGAAGTCACACTTAGCAAACTTCAAGGACTCTTAAGGACAGCTGAAAATGGCCTTAAGGGTAAAGCGGTTGCTACTTCTACTCCTTCAACAGCCCCTGTTCTGGCTATTGGGCAGGGAAAGGGTAAGAAGAGGAAAAGCCCTTCGAAGGGTACCAAGGGTAAGACTCTTGATGGTTCCTCTTCAAGTGGGACAAAGAAAGGTCCCATTACTCCTTCTTCAAACCCAAAGGAAGCACAGTGCTTCTATTGCCAGGATAAGGGACACTTCAAGCGAAGCTGCCCTAAATATCTGCAAGATGTAAAGGATGGGAAGGTTAAACCCACCCATGCAGGTATTTACACAATATTGTCTAATAACTCATCTAATGCTAATTCTTGGGTGCTTGATACAGGTTGTGGTATTCACATCTGTACTGATTTGCAGGCACTAAGAAGAAGTGAGCAAGTGGAGCACGGGAAGATAAACTTAGTCATGGGCAACAGGAAGGCATCACCTGTTACCAAGATAGGAGTTTATTCTTTATTGCTTAATAATGGGTTAATGTTAGATTTGAATAAGTGTTGTTACTCGCCCGAAATGGCGAGAAATATTATTTCTTTTCATGGCTTGTACAAACAAGGTTTTTCATTTTCATTTGATAATAAAAATGGTGCTATTAATGTTTATTACAATGATGTATTTTACTTTAAAGCATTACCTTGTGATGGTGTATATGAAGCCGTGAATGTTGTAGACAATCTAGGAAATAATGTGTTGTATATTGATTCTTCAGATAGCTTGGATAAAGCATCCTTGTGGCATTGTCGTCTTGGACATGTTAACAAGAAGCGCATAGGCCAACTCCAAAAGGCTGGAGTCTTGGAATCATTTGACCTCAAGTCAGATGATAGTTGCGAGTCTTGTTTACTTGGAAAAATGACAAAGTCACCCTTCACAGGTACTTGTGATAGGGGTGAAGGTTTGTTGGACCTTGTACACACGGATGTGTGTGGGCCCTTCAGAGTTGCTACAAGGGATGCTAATCGCTATTATGTGACTTTTACTGATGATTACAGTAGATATGGATGTATTTACTTAATCAAGCATAAGTCAGAAACCTTTGAAAAGTTCAAAGAGTTTAAGCAGGAAGTGGAGAATCAATTGGGCAGGAACATCAAGATGCTCCGATCCGATCGGGGAGGAGAGTATCTTAGCATTGAGTTCCTTGACTATCTTAAGGAATGTGGGATTGTCTCACAATTGACACCTCCCAGAACACCACAGTTGAATGGTGTAGCTGAGAGGCGCAATCGAACCTTGTTGGATATGGTTCGTTCCATGATGAGTCGAGCTTCGTTACCAATCTCTTTCTGGGGGTATGCCTTAGAGACTGCCGCCCATATCCTTAATCTAGTCCCTACTAAAAAGGTTGCCAAAACACCTCACGAGATGTGGACTGGGAAAGTTCCCAATTTGGACCACATCAAGATTTGGGGTTGTGAAGCTTTCGTGAGGCGTGAGACTCATGATAAGCTTGAACCTCGAAGTGAGAGGTGTATTTTCATCGGCTACCCACAGAGATCCTTTGGTTACCTCTTCTACAGACCCAGTGATAATGTGGTCTTTGTAGCAAGAAGAGGAGTCTTTCGTGAGAGAGAATTCATAAGCCAAGGGGACAGTGGGAGGCAAATTGACCTTGAAGAGCTTCAAGAGTC